ATCTATCTATCTATCTATATATATATCATATATATACATTATATATATATATATATATATCTGGTATTGTGTAGATCACCTATATGTGATACATTCAGCAAATTACATTGCTCTAATTCTTAGAGTATGAAAATTGTTTTTTCAACATTTACGCTTCATCAGTCCTCCTCCGAAAAAATAACAACAGATAAAATGCAAATTTAAGAAATAATAAATAAATAATCAAACATTAACAATAAGCTATAGATTTAAGAAAAATAATAATAATAAAATAAAATATATACAAATATATATATATATAATTTATGAAAAGGCAAATCACAGGCTGCTTTTTTATAACAATAATATTTTACTATGGCCTGAAGCTAATCTATACAAATTCATACATACATATACACATGCAAACATACACATATATATACACACACCAAACGTCTTTAAAAAATTGTAGGAAATGCATAAAAATTAGAGAAAATATGTATGGATCTCAATGTTATGCAGCAAAAAATGTTATAGCTATGTTACAACAAGAGTAACTAGGAAGGTGGTGATGCCAACTTGAAGATAGCACTTGTTTGAGCATCATGAACACTCAAAATCAAGATCAGAATAAACTTCAAATTCATGGTGAAGCTCAGATGAAAGTATGGGTAAATTATTGACATTTTAGGAAAACTGTATAGAGCTAATGCCCCAAAGTAATTTAGCCATTACAATTGGATATCTCATTTCAAGAATGAAGAGGCTTTGAAAGATGATGTTCACAGAGGCAGGCCATCCACAAGAGTTTGCAGTGTAAAAAATTGATGATGTTCTTGCCTCTACATGAAGATGACTGGAGAATAATAATGGGAAAAAAAGCCAACGCACTCAACATTTTAGTCAATTCAGCTTACACTATTTTGACAGAACTGGAGCTCAGCAACCTTTCTGATCAATGCTTCCCCAAGCTGTTATGCCCAGACCAACTGCAAATAAGGGTGCGTCTCTCAACAGAGAAGCTAAATAACTGGGATCAAGATCCTGAAGTACTTCTTCAAAGAACTGTAACAGGGGACAAAAAGTAGCTTTATCAGTATGATCTTCGGGACACTACCTAATCAATGCTGTGGCTACCAAGGAGTGGACAAGCAAGGTCACAGCAAGTTCTTTTTATGCTCCAGGTACTTTCATGCTGACTTTCTTGGGAACCAAAGAAAAATAAAATTCTGTATCAAGAAATTTGGGAAAGCTGGCAAAGACATAAGCAGAAATTTGCCCAAGAAACCTTTATCAGCACCAACGTTTCACTATGATCCTTTGGATCCATCTTATAGTCATGGCATTTGGCTCTGTCTGATTCTTTCAATTGCTAAACCTTAAGAAGTCATTATTAGGTACCACTTTATTTTCAATGTGGAAAAAGACCTGTTTTGAAAAGGCTCAAGTCTCAAGACCCTAATTCATATCAAGATGCACTAAATGCTTGGTACGATTGCTTACAAAAGTGCACTGAGTTTGATGATTTCTTTGAAATGAAATGCTTTCCATTGTTAACCAGAAATTTTGGCTTGAGGGGTGGATGATGCGAACATGCTGTCATGGGAAAATTTGGCTGTGGGCTGAGGTGATGCCGTCATGAGCCTTTCAGCTGAAGGCCATGGTGACAAAAATGACATGCCACAAGGGCACAAGCCTCTTGGAAGGGGATTAGGCTTTTGCATTATTTTCATAAATGAGTGTGGAATGTTCAATCTGTGAGCCATGACTGGAAGATCAGCTCCAGGGAAGATGTTATTTCCATGCTCAGGATCCTATTCCTAGCTGCTGTGAGTGGGAGCACAGGTTGTATTACAGAATATGTGAAAAAAAAAGACATATAACAAAATGCTTCTTATTGTAATTATTACTACACTGAGTTATGGATTACCTACAGAGATGACATGTCACTGCACAAGAGTGTTTGCATGCACCCGGCCTGCAAGCCACACACCCATTACAGTGACCACTCACGTAAGCCTAAAGCCCATATTTTAGGCCATATGATAGCAGTGAAGCATCAAGATCCAATGTGTTAAGGTGACCGTCCCTAAGTTCGGTAGGGGTAGTTGGGTTTGGGGGGGGGGGGTCAAAAATTAGCTATACCCATTTTCACACTCATATGGGAATGTAGAATTACCTACGTGAATATAAGCCTCTGTAAAGAAAAACTAGAAGTGATATGAGTCTATGATTCCTAGGTAGTCACTTGCGGCGTCAGCAATTCTTACAAGTAGGTATTCATCCCCTATTGAAGCAAAAATGAAACATTGTATTTTGACATAACCTACTTAAATAAGTCACAGGAGGATGAAAGTGTCTTATGATAACAAATTCCTACCAATGTGAAGGTATCATGATGGAAAAAAAAAAAAAAAAAGTGGGGGGGGAATCTAAAAAATCTCAAAACTAATTTTCATGTCTTTTTCATTACAAATGTGGTAGATATGATTTGTTTTTGACATAAATATCATATATATAAGTTTAGAGTTCAACAATAGTGCATGTGCAGTGGTAAGTCTCTATCTCGAAAAATAAATGAACACAAATTTATGATACTTCAGTCAACCACATGGTCCTGTGGCCACATGGCAAGCCAAGCAAGATTTTTCATGCTTTTGCCACCCGGTTAGACTTGGCACATAGTAAAGCTTTTAGATTTTTTGTGTTCCTTAGTGCCCAAGATATCATAAAAACTCATAATAGTAATAATGTAGCAACTTTATACTAAATATAATAGACAAGAATATGAAGGCTAAAAATCCCATAAAAAATGTCAAACACTATAAATTTGTGATATAGGGCTATAATTAATCAGTTTGCATTATTACATTAAGAAAAGAAATGTCCATGGGAAACAGACAGTGGTGAGTTTATATTACAAAATATCAACGTATTCTAAACAGTTATTTCCAATGAATAAAATAACAATTAAAGGTTACTTGGTAATTACAAACTGCTTGTTACTCTAACCATTTCTCATTATCTCTGCACACTTGTACACATGTGCATGTGCATGTACACAAGTTTACACATGTAACTGTATTTACACATATATGTACAGAGTTACATATACATGTACACACATTTACATACACAAGTACATGTATGCACATGTTTTTAAATACATGTGCACATATTTGTAGACATATGTACACAATTTTACATGTACAACTACATAGACATGTATGCAAATGTAAACACATGTAGATGCTAAATAATATCAATACAAGTGGCCTGAGACAAGCAATAACTGTATTTATGCACACATCATGTTGCCAAGATTAGTGTATATGGAGGTACCATTTTAGTTTTTGTTTTAACTCAGGAACCAGTGAAGACTTCTTCAAGCAACTAATGGTATTTGAAAGAGAAATGTGTGTAGTTTTATAGGTAATTAAATAATTCATTTTCAATGAAAAAAATATTCAGAAAATTAACTTATTCACAATTTTTCCTC